AGGAGTATCCCTGGCTTTGCTGGGGATTTTGTGTGCTATCGCACAGACTGTATTAATTTAGTCTGGCATCAATAACCTTGAAATCAGGATTTTGCACTAAAAATCTAGTTTTATGTTTATTCAGAAAGCAAAGATAAAAGGCGACTTTATTTTAAGGGACCCTCCAGTGGCTACAGGGCAAACGTAATGTAACACTCCTGATTTCCACTACCTTGCTATTCAATGCCAGCTCCCATGGCAACAGATTTTATAGGAATACAAAGAGTGTGATGAAGATCTCCCGTTATTTTGCAACGAGGTTAATTACGGAAAAGTCTCCTGTCTGCAGAGTTCTTTGGCATCCCTGAAATGGCAAAAGCTCCTGGAACACCTTGGTCAAAACCAGCCACAGGTCCCCAGGAGGAGGAGAAGGACTTCATTTATCCACTTTGGAAAACAGCAGAGACGTTGGGTGTTTATATTCAACAGATTAACAGGGGAATATCATGTAATTGCTAAAGAAACAACATATGATCAATTAATTACTTCTGTAACTCTAACAAGAAATGGTTTTATGCTTTCATTCTCTCCTCAATTAGTTCATAAGCTGAAGACAGTCAGTCTGAAGAGACTAAAGTACTTAAATGCATTTTTTTTCTCCATTTTTGCTCTTTTTTTTTTTTGGTGTAGTTACACTAACAGACTTACTTACCTACTGTCTCTATATCCCCTTTGACCCAGTTTATAAAAGGACACTTTTACTCTGATTTAATCTCATGCCATATTTTAAAGAAACAAAAACTCATTCACATGTCAGAGAGAAACAACAAAAGTATTTACAAAAATCACAGGTTTTAATCTAACTGACCTTATCCAGGACTGTCTCTACTGCAGTTGTGGTGCTGTTGGCACGCACAGAAAAGTGTCTCAGCAGGGGAAAAAAAATAAACATTACAGACCAACAGGTAGTCACAGCTAAATCTAGGAACAGCAAGAAGTTGAAGAAAATTAGGATGCAAAATTTCTCTCCATGCAGCAACTTTGTCACCACAAACTACTTTGATTACAAATACACATAACTTGTTTTTTCTCTTTGCCTGTCCTATGGAGCCAGGCTGGGAGAGCTGGGGGCATTCAGCCTCTGGAAGAGAAGCTCCAGGGAGACCTTAAGAGCCCCATCCAGTGCCTAAAGGGGCTCCAGGAGAGCTGGAGAGGGATTTTGGACAAGGGCCTGGAGTGACAGGACAAGGGGGAATGGCTTCCCACTGCCAGAGGGCAGGGTTAGATGGGATATTGGAAAGGAATTCTTTGCTGGGAGGGTGGAGAGGCCCCAGCACAGGTTACCCAGAGAAACTGTGGATGCCCCATCCCTGGAATTGTCCAAGGCCAGGTTGGATGGGGCTTGGAGCAACCTGGGCTAGTGGAAGGTGTCCCTGCCCATGGCAGGGAGTGGAATGAGAGGATCTATAAGGTCCCTTCCAAGTCAAACTATTCCATGATTCTAATAAAATGAAAGGGAGTTTTGCACTGAATTCAGTGAGAATTCCCTACCCCCCTGGTTTGCCTATTATTATTTATTTTCTACTGAAAGTATGGATTTTTGATCCCTTTCTAACTATATTTCTCCTTTCACTTTGCTCCATATTTAAGCATTATGTCAAAACTTTCTGTATTTCAAACACTTAGTCCTGATGTGGTGCTTGGCTGAGGATGGACAGAGGTCTCCTCACCCAGGCCATAAGCCCTGACTCCCTGTTGTCACCGTCACAGCCCTTTGAAGCACAGCCAGGGTCTATCTATTGACACTGTGCAGGGTCTCCCAGTCACAATGGTTGAGTCATTCCACCAGTGCACTGGGTTTTCGTTTCCTGATGGCTCCTGGACATGAAAGAGAACCTTATCTGTCTGCGGGAGCAAAAACCGAGCCTGGATCCAAAGAGCTGCCCAAAGATCCCCTCCATCTCCATCGCCCCAGCCAGAGCCAGAGCCATCCCCGGAGCTGGGCTGGATGATCTCATGGCACTTTTCATCTCTGCCTCCTGTTCCTACGACAGCAACAGTGGGTGGCATCAGTGATCAGGGGGGATTTCAAAGTTCAGTTGTTGAACGGTGACAAATGACACTGAACTTGGAAAAATGCACCTTGATCAATCCAGGGGGAAATAATCTTAAACAAAGGTGCTCAATGGTGGAAGGAAATCTGGGCAGGGGTGAGAGCAAAAGGAACACAGGAGTGATAACAGCAGATTAAATATGAATAACTGAAGGCTTTCAGAGTTACTTGAGGAGTTCTGATGACACATCTCAGAGGAAAGGACAAGGCAGGATGTGTCACACTGCAAACCCTGACACACTCGTTGCTGTTCAGCTAATTCCTATCATCAGATCCTCATTCTTAGAAGGAACGTGTGTCTCAAAAGTCAGAAAAAATCAGCTCCTCATTCTTGGCCATTAATCTAAACACCAGCATTGCAGCAAGTTTAATCAGCTCTTCTAAAATTCCTTTCCCTTTAATTCCATAAGTACACATATTTTTGGCTCTTGATATAAACCCCACCAAATATTTGTGGGTAATTCCTGTACTTTTGCCCAGAGGAATACACAGCCATAGACCCTGATTCCAGTTTTAACTTCTACTTTCAATTTTGACACCAAACTTTCACTGAGTTGTTACAAAAAAGGCAGAGAAGCATCTTTGGTTAAATCTCCCTTTAATCTTCCTTAACAATTTTATCTTTCAAGATGTGATTGTTTTAATTGTTCTTTAATTCAAGATATATATGCTTAAAAAAATTAAAATCACCTCATTCCTACTAAAAAGGGTCGCGGGGAAATTAATTCAGTAAGGTCTATCGAGTTCTCTTCTTTGGGAAAATAAAAGAAGGGAAAAAAAGGTGGATTATTGGTCATTACACATCATCCAGACCCTCCCAAACATAAATATTTTGTATTATTCTGCAAATTCTGGCTGGATTTTTCTTCCAAACTGTATTTGTGCTCACTGCTTTTCAAATTTCCTTGCTAAATATGCCTTCAAAACAAAATGTTTTCATACTATTCCATTAAAAATACTGAATATTTTTGAAGTGAAATTTTTGGTTTTCTGTGCCTGCACTTTTAAAGGGAGCAGAGCCTAAGATTTTTTTTTTTGTGATGCAAAATGTAGAGATATATTATGTTATATGAGGCACAGTGATGATTTTATTCCAACATAAATGTCATTCTCACATAGTAATTTCATTTGGACTAGTAGAAGTGACTTTTTGTAGGTGTTTGCACCTAATATTAATGTTAAAGTTTAGACTATTTCGTGGAAGGATAATGACAGAGCAAATTAACTGGCAAAGCAGGATTTACTAGTTTCCATTGGAAACACCAGGTCCCTCCTACTCTAGGTAACATTTTAGAATAAAATCATTATTTTTATTTAAAAACATTTAGAAATACACACGTGGAAGTGAAGAAACATGCCCGCTTCCCCTTCACTATTTACCTCCAAGCCTTGCCAGATAAATGCCACTCAGTATCTGAGGTCAGCCTGGCTTTGAATAGCACTCCGCATTCCTGAACTCCTTCCCAAATCTTGGGAAGGCAAAGAGAGGAAAACAAATAGCAGATGTGGGAATTGGGAAAAGGAAACGGTCATTTTTCCAGCGTGTGGGTCACGGAGAATAGATTAGCAAGTCCGGGCTGGTTCAAACACGCTGGCACGGTGAGAGGAGCTGGCGTTTGCCCAGGACAAACAGTGCCAGCTCCGTGAGAGCCGGGAGCGCCGCGCACGCGGCCGGGAGCCGCTCCAGCCCCGCGTGGCTGGAGCCACATGCCATGGCAGTGCCCTTGGCTCGGCTCCAAGGGACTGCACCCTCCAGATTGCGCCTGGGGGCTGCTCCAGCAGCCGGGCTGGAGAAACAGCTCCACCAGGGATGGGGGGATCTGCACAAAGCCAACCCCACGCTTCCAGTTTTAGGCACATCTCGTGCACGCTGTGGAGCAAAGGGGTTCTGACTTGACCTTACACACGAGGATTGATGTTGGGATTGCAGCCTGAACCCTCCTCTTGGTAACTACAGGCACCGCTGGGGCCAGACTGATGGCAGGAAACAAGGCTTGGAAAAGCCAGGACATATTGGAAAGCCTCAGGAGAATCCCAGAGGGTGGGGAGGCCTTGGCACAGGCTGCCCAGAGAAGTTACGGTTGCCTCATCCTTGGAAGTGTCCAAGGCCGGGTTGGACGGGGCTTGGAGCAGCCTGGGTTAGTGGAAGGTGTCCCTGCCCATGGCAGGGGGTGGAACTGGATGGGCTTTAAGGTCCATTCCAACACAAACCATTCTGTGATCTATGAATTCTGAGTAATGAATTCAGGAATGGCCTGGAGTTTGTCAGGGGAGGGTTAGGTTGGATGTTAGAAAAAAGTTCTTCCCCAAAGGTGGTTGGGCACTGAACAGGCTCCCCAGGGCAGTGGGCACAGCACCAAGGCTGCCAGAGCTCAAGGAGTGTTTGGATGACGCTCTCAGGCGCATGGTGTGACTCCTGGGGATGGGCCTGTGCAGGGCTAAGGGTTGAACTCGATGATCCTTGTGGGTCCCTTGCAACTCAAAATATTTTGTCATTCTGTAAATCCCTGATTTCATTTCTATGTGTTATTGGCACAGTACCATGTGATGCCACTCCAGGTCATGCTAAATCCAGGGGGCAATAATTTACTTCAGTAACTCTCATCCGAACAGGAATAATGACAACACCTCACCATCTTCCTAGGCTCATACAGTATTTGAGCCACATTCCTACTGAGGGCAGACACGGCCAGACTAACACCGTGAAAAGGAAAATACAGTTCTGGAGACAGGAAAAGTGGACGCAGAGACCACCCAGCCACCACAGGACAAATGAGATGTCATCCATGGGATCCCACAGCTCAGGATGTTATTCTTGTGCAGTCCACAATCAATTATGTCTGTACCAAATGACTACACTCACTTTTTTTGGGTCTCCGGGAAATCTTTGTTCAAATTGAAGATGGTTTTCTAACTGGCTCTGCTCTTTACCCAATTTTCCAGCTGAGTTGACTGAGGCCCAGGCAGGTCAAAAGGCTTACCCAAGGTCAGGGAGGGAATCAATGAGTTGGGTCAGATTAGATCTCAGCCTGTTCCTCACTTTTCATCCTCTGCTGTTCCTGCTGGATCACCGTTAGAACCAGGTTAACAAAAATGTCACGGATGTGCTTTAAAAATATATGTTTTTAAACTTGTTATCCCAATAAGAATTAAGTTCTTTAGATGGCATGCTATATAAGATTAGGTTTCAAGAGGTGAGGCCTTTGCTGCAAGGAATTCAATATCCAGCACAATGTAAAATCACCAGCAGGAGAGACTTTTACTACTGTATAAAAATAATAAAAATTCAGAAAAGTCAAATTCACAGATCAAATGCTGAAGTGCTCACTCGGGTCAAGTTCTGCCTGGCTTTAATTGTATTTTGCCTTGGGAAAAGGCTTCAGATCTGGCCATAAATTAGTATGCTGATCCCATGGCATGAATGGTGTTTTATTTACTTATTCCCTGGAATATGCTGTAGAATTCAAGTAGCAGTTCAGCTAAAAAGAATCACTCATCTGAATCTGAGGGAACTGTGATATTTATGAGAATAATGTTGAGCTTCCAACCACCCACTATGTAATTTGGCATGAATTGACCAAAATAGCCCATTTCCCCCCAAGGGACATGTGTGTTTCCTGAACTTCAGCACCGAGAGGCACCAAAAGTACTGGATTTTCAGGAAAAACATCTTCCCTGGGAGGGCAGAGGAGCTGAAGAATGTGATCCCCGGGGAGGCTGGGCTGTCCTCAGCCTTGGGGGTTTCCAGACCTGGTTGGGGAAAGCCCTGAGCAGTTGTGTCTGATCCTGGAGCTGGGGCAGAGGGATGACTTGAAGACCTCCTCCAATCCACCCAAGACTATTTTACAATCCTACAGCATCACTGTATATGGTCCTTTTCAGGATAAATTTATTAAGACCATTTCAGGGGCAATTTTTTTCCCCCAGCTCTCCCTCCATGCTCCAAGCTCCTCCCTTCCCAGATCCCTTGAGTCATGGAGATGTGGCACAGAGAAAGAGGAATATAACTTTACTTCCCAGCTATTACTCCATAAATAAACTAGAGAATACGCCCACCAAACTGTGTTTCTTTTCCATTCATTCACTTCCATGCTACCAAACCACAGACGCCTTGTCCTGGGCTTTTTGTTTTACAGACAATGGGAAAAGATTGCTTTGGAAAGTCCTGTCAGGAATTTTATTTTCCCGAATTTCGGATCCTGGCAGGCTCCACTGCAGACACACTCGGAACTTTTGGCAAAGTTCAGCGCTGAGGAAACGGCGTCTCATCAGTTTTCATCTGCAGATCAAAGCAATTCACTGGCAACATGAAAAGACTGTATTTAAAAAGTGACAGGATACCCTTAAAAAAATTAAAAAGAATGAGCTTAGAAATTCTGGGAAGAATGCATTTGGAGTTTCAAGCAAAATAAAACAACATCTAAAAAGCAGGATTAAAAATATCCTCGGACGCAAGAGAAATATTTGTATTTGCCCAGCGCTGAAACAATAAACGAATCAAAACGATCTCTGCTCCGTGTTCCAGAGCAGAATAAAACTATTCAACCATTATATTGGGTTCAACTTGGCTGGTTTTCCTGTTGTGCTTCCGTAAAGCCAGGAAAAGCTAAACCAGGCAGGGGATGGCAGCGATTTGGAGGGAGCATCCTGAGAGCGGAGAATCTGGAAAGTTTTAGACAAGATATGCAAATTCAGGAGATGGAGCACTTGTTCTCCAGCTCCTCCTGACTCCTGGTACCTTCCAGCACTATCAGAAATAGAAATGTTACCTCTCTTTTGACTGGCACACTCCTCTCCTACTCCTCAGGCTGGCTCTGGAGTTGTCTTTGCCTCCACCTCATTTTTGTCAGAACTGGGAGCACACGGAGGTTTCAGCAGCTGTCTGACCTTTTCAGGGTGCACATCTCTACCTTCACCACCCAGGGACTTGCTTATGCTTAAAATCTGCTGCAGGTTAACTTGAATTATTTCATGTGAAGGTGTTTAATGTCACAAACAAATTTTTTTTCTCCTCTTGCAGGTCAGTTGGTATTTTAATGTTTATTATTAAACCGACTTTGGAAGCTGAACATGGAATAGATTTGCCTACAAATGGACACATGGGAGCATCTCACCCCAGCTGTGCACCTGCCATATGGATTTGCTGGATTGTGGCCTCAGGAGCATTTTGGAGGGATGTTGCCTCCCAGGAGGTGTGGCAACAGAGCCAGGTCAAGCTCAGCCCAGCCAGGGGACTTCCCAGTATTGCTCCACCATGGATCCAATTAACCAGTGAGTTCCTCTGCTCCGAGCCCGGACATCAGCATCTTCTGAGAACAGGCACAGAATTACACCCATTTTTATTTTTATATTTATAAAATACTTTATATATTTATCTATTCTATACTTAGACTGCTGTTTGAATGGGGAGCTGAACCCAAACTCACACCAAGATTGCTATGAGGAACAGGAACCCTGTGTATTTCCCACTACTGTTAAGAGACAAATAACATTATATATTTAAAAAAAAAAAGAGAGAAGATAAACATTTTCAGGGCAGATTTCTATTCCACTCACAGTGGAATACAGTACAGTACACTGTATTTATGCAAAAATGTTAATGAAACACACAAGAAGTGAAGTGAGTGCCCCAATTTACCACTGAGGTTGCACAGAAATGCAATTGGACAGGGTTCCAGCTTTCCTTTGGGAGTGCTGCTTGGCAAAGAGCTTGCACTTCTTCCTGCCTTCCTCTTTGCCTTTCTAACCCCTCAGAGAAACATCATTTAAATACTATTTCTTTAGAGAACATGAGAATATGTAGAGAGCTCCCAGTTTGGCTTATCTGACCTGTCCAGTTGTCTTGGCAATTGGGTCACCAGTTGTTTGGAGATCCAACAATGGGATTCTCCAATCATAGAATCATAGAGTCATAAACATAGAATCATGAAATGGTTTGGGTTGGAAGGGACCTTAAAGATCACCTAGTTCCAACTCCCCTGCCATGGGCAGGGATCCTTAGATCAGGTTACTCAGATCCACATGCAGCCTGGTCTCGAATATCTCCAGAGATTGTGAGTCCACAACCTCTCTGGACAACCTGTGACAGGGACTCACAATTCTTACAGTAAAGAATTTCCTCCTAATATCTAAAACAAATCTACCCTCCTTCAGCTTAAGGCCCTTCCCCAGGCCCTTTCCCAAGTCCCTCTCCAGCTCTCTTGGAGCCTCTTTAGGCACTGGAAGGAGCTCTCAGGTCTCCCCAGAGCCTTCTCCAGGTGAACACCCCCAGCTCTCCCAGCCTGGCTCCAAAGCAGAGGTGCTCCAGCCCTCTGATCACCTTTGTGGCTTTCTCTGGACTCATTCCAACAGGTCTTTTTTGTGCTGGGACCCCATAGCAGGAGGTAGAACTGGAGGTGGGGTCTCACCAGAGCAGAAGGGGAGAAACCCCTCCCTCGACCTGCTGGTCATGCTATGGGGATCCAGCTCAGGATACAGTCTTCTGAGGGGCTCTATCCCTCAGCTGCCCAAGAGCACAATCATTTGCCATGAGGTCCTTACAAAAGCACAAGGACAGTGTGAAAATGTGTGGGAGAACAGGTAGAACCTGCGTATGTTCAGCTCTGTTGTGCTGTGCACTGCTGCCCATCCATCCCGGTGACACTGGTTCTACCACACGCAGGTTATCCACGGGAAACTGATTCCTTTCATTTAGACCCTCTCCAAAACAAAACACATTTCTACCTGTGGAGAGTAATTCAATATGAACAGTTCTGACTGTTCTTCAGTGACTGTGTGATGAGGTTTGCCAGCACTCGGAAGATTACACGAGGCTGGAGTTATACCCGCAGTTTATAAAATCATACAGAATTCATACATTTTACACAGACAGGCTCCCTAAAGTGTCACATCGTGTTTTAGCACCTGAACTCACTGTGATTCAGTAAAAGAATCCTGCTTCCCTGCAACGGATCTTGGGCTCTGCAACCTCCTCCACACACATATATCATCCCTGACTTCCGAAGGAGCACGGTCGGCTTGAGGGACAGAGGTGCACCTCCTGTAATGGTATATACTACATTCTGCAGCAACCTTTCTTCTCATATTTCAGAGTTGAAAAAGGCCTGTCAAAAAGGGGCTATTATGAAAGGGAATTTGAAGACATTCATAAACATCTAGACAGAAAATTGCATTTTCAATATGAGAACCTCAATAGTTAAGGCTACATTTGGGAGATCACTATGGCCCTCTTATTTTCTGCTTACGCTGTCAAAGTTTGAATTCATGTTGGGTTTTTGAGCAATTCAAACAAAGGATACTTTCATAAACATCCATTTCATAAACTACAGCATATCTAATTCTTTGGGTTCTGAAGGCTGAGCTGAATGTAGTGTTTGTGGTCTACTGAGAATATGTCTGGAAAACATAAAACAATCTACTAGGTAAGTTACAAAGCTGTTGACATAGGGAATGAAAATGGAAATTCTGTAGTAGTCTCCTCCATCCACAGCTTTCCGCTGTACTTTGCCTGATGTGAGCTGATTGGTGCCGTATATCTTGATGTGAGGATCCCATTTCAGAAATGTTCTGACATTATCTATTTGGCAGCTTGAAAAATAGTATCAAACTCCCAATGCATTTGAGCGCACGTTTCAACCCAGCAACTGTAATATCCATTTCCTCTGGTGCAAGAGGCATGTTAGGACCAACTTCACGTGGATTCATTTCTAAGGATGCAATATGTGACTCCGCAATGTCCCTGCACATGCACACAGGGCTTGGTTAGAGAGCCCAAAAGGAATTAACTTGATTTAATTTCCAGTCCTTCCCAGTAAATACTCAGTTTTATCTGGGAGCAAGTTTTTCCTGCAAAGGGATTGATGACGCCAGTTCTGGGAATGCAACAGCACAGTAACCGTTGGCACCTCACCTGCCTATGGCATAGGTGGGAATGCAAGGAGGAATCTTCATTAAAAAAAAAGAATTATTAAGAATATTTTCACAAGGGCCTGGAGAGACAGGGCAAGAGGGAATGGCTTTGAACCGTAAAAGGGCGCAGTTAGATGGGATATTGGGAAGGAATTCTTGGCTATGAGGGTGGAGAGGCCCTGGCACAGGTTGCCCAGAGAAGCTGGGGCTGCCCCTGGATCCCTGGAAGTGTCCAAGGCCAGGTTGGACGGGGCTTGGAGCAACCTGGTGCAAGGTGGCCCTGCCCATGGCAGGGGAGTTGAATTAGATTATCTTTAAGGTCCCTTCCAAACCAAACCCTTCAATTTTCCCTATGATTTCCCAAGTCATTTACACTGATGACAATGTTGGGCTCATCTCTAACCAGGTTACAATAGCCCAGTCCCTTGAAGGATGTGTTCTATTGCAAATATGCTTAATACGTCAATAGGAAAAAAACATATGCTGCAAATTTTGCTGTAATAATTATTGGAAATGCTTGAGCCTTGCTGGAATTTGGCAATAGCTCCACTAAATATAGGACTCCAGGCACACTTAATTTAAGAGGAGATTTATCATTGGTCTTATTGACCCAAAATTCTTCTTATTTAACATTTATAAGTATTTTTACTGCACAAATTTCTCTGTAGCACAACTGTTAAAATTTATACCAGTTAGTTTCACCAATATTGTCAAAACATTTTCCAACAACTTCTGGAACAGAGCAGCCAGGAGATAACTAAACCACCTGAAGTCGGGCATATGAAACACCATAACATTTTATGGTTTTGCCCTAAAGAAAATGAAGCCAATCTCTGCTAATATGCCTTTCATTTACACACTTTGCTATGAGATTTCCCTAAAGGCATTAGTGGCTGGCAAACAACTCCCAGCACCTTGATTGCAGGAAATCATATTTCTCCCAATCCCAAGCTTCTTCATAAGTATTGAAAATGCTCTGACTACTAAAATACATTTTCTGAACTTACCAGTAATTCTACACTTCGAACCACCCAATTTCCTTCCTCTCCCAGCACAGGAACCACTTGTATTCCTGCTCAATATATCCCAACTCTGAGCTTACCCTTTGTTTTTTTTTAATAGAGATGAATCCAGATTTAGAAGTGGAATCGAACAAGCTTGGAGAATGTTTTGGGAGAAGAGAGAGTGAAAAAGTTTTGTTAGCGAGGGTGACAAACTATTTCAAAGATGATGACCATTTAAAATGTACAGATTTTTATCTGAACGCCCTTGAATTTAAAGAACTGTGGACATTTAAAGTCTTCCAACTACTTAGAACCAGAATGAAGGATGAAAATCACAGAAAATCACAAATCTTCAGAATAACCCTTAGACCTCTTTTCTTACACACAAATCACATCCCACATCACCAAATTTAACTTTCCCTCTTACACCCATCATGCTCCTCTTCCCAGTGACTCAGGTGCTTCCCATCATTTCACATCAATTAAAACACAGGGACAAACTCCCAAAATGTGCTGCAAACAGAAGTTTGGTATAAGAGGTTACTTCTTATTATTAAAAACCTATTAAGAAACCAGATTCGGAGTGTTTTTACACACACACACTCTCCTTCAGGGCCAATTAAAGAACAAAACATGCTCAGATCAAACAGCCAGCTCTGTATGGACATGAATATTTCCAGATTGAAATTTGCAGGACACATCCCTGCTGTGGAGAAAACACCAGAGTCTTGGCAAACAAAATCACAGTTTCTGGTTTCATTCAGCCTTTTTTTTTTTTTCCTGGTTCTTCTAAATGTGAAAGGCAAGACTTATTTACTCGTTGCACTGAAATCACACCAGGTTACATTCCTGCGGTTCTTCGCAGCTGAGGAGAGGTCAGAGGAGCAGAGGAAGTGAGCGAGGCCAGATTCTGACTCAGTAAAGCACAGACACACAAATATATTATGCCTGTGCTCCAATCTGACAATTTTCTCTGGGGGGAAATTAAAGATCTACAAGTGAGGTCCAAATCAGAGTGATTTTCAATCCCACGTCGTCCCTGAGACTCCATCTGTTCCTGTCCCGGCTCCAGCGAGGGGGCAGTTACAGCTCCAGTGCCCAAGTCTCTCCTCCACAGCAGATGTTGCAGAAAGTAGATGCTTCCAGAGGTTAGTCCTTAACAAGGAATTTAATCCAGCCTGAAATATTTGTGAATTCACATCTCGAGGCATTTAATAAAATCCTCCATTTTTAGTTTTTCATCCCACCCCATCACAGCCTTTGACCTTGAAGTTCATGGATTGGTTTAAGCTTTGGTTTACTTGGAAGCAAATTCATGTGCTGTCACTGGAAGAAAACTACAGATGTTCCAGTCCTGAGAAAATACCATTCTGTACCTGAAAATGCCACATTAAATGACCAAGTAATAACAAATAAAGAACTGAAAGGAAATGCAATGTCTTATAAGTAACAGACTTAAATAAAATAAAGACTGAGAGAAAAGGCCTGGAATGAAAAACAAAGACATGGGACATGAGTTGAAAAACATTTTAGAAATTCTGTACCTTCTGACAGGATCAGTGTTATGAAAATTCCCCTAAAAGTTTTAGTATTAGTGAATTAGACTGAATGTGTCATAACTGAATGCTGGAAACTCCTGGGGAGAAAATTACCATTTAGGGGCCCTCAGAGCTAATTTAATAAAGAAGTCTGATGAGGTAGATAAAGTATAGTAGTAGGAAGAGACCTAAATAAATGTAAAACGATATATATATATATAAAGAGAGAGAGAGAGAGAGAGAGAGAGATGTTCTGTTGATACTGATGTCATTGACCAGTGACACATCTAATAAAGGATGTTGCTGTTGTTAAAGGACATATTAGATAGAAATTCAGAAGTTCAATGGCTGAAAGGATGCTTAAGATCCAAATCTGGCCAGTAGAAGGGTTAGAAATTTGAATAAGATGTTCAT